ACACTGAGCACAGCTTGGTACACTAATCAGAGTTTGGTGCAATGAGCAGAGTTTGATACACTGATCAGAATTTGGTACAATGTGCACAGTTTGATAAACTGATCAGAGTTTGTTACAATGAGCACAGTTGGGTACTCTGATCAGAGTTTGGTACAATGAGCGTTTAGAACACTGAGCAGTGTTTGGTCCACTGAGCACAGTTTGGTACACTAAGCACAGCTTGGTACACTGAGCACAGTTTGTTAGACTGAGCACAGTTTGTTACACTGAGCCGAGTTTGGTACACTGATCAGAGATTGGTACAATGAGCACAGTTTGGTACTCTGATCAGTGTACCAAACCCTGCTCAGTGTACCAAACTGTGTTCAGTGTAACAAACACTGATCAGTGAACCAAACTCTGCTTAGTATGCCAAACTCTGCTCAGTGTAACAACCTCTTATCAGTGTACCACATTGTGCTCAATGTAACAAACTGTGATCAGTGTACCAAACTCTGCTCATTGTACCAAATTCTGATTAGTGTACTTAACTGTGCTCAGTGTACCAAATTCTGATCAGTGTACCAAACTGAGCTCAGTGTTACAAACTCTGAGCAGAGTTTGGCACACTGATCAGAGTTTGTTACATTGATCAGAATTTGTTACATTGAGCACAGTTTGTTACACTGAGCCGAGTTTGGTACACTGATCAGAGATTGGTACAATGAGCACAGTTTGTTAGACTGAGCACAGTTTGGTACACTGGTGTTTGTTACACTGAGCAGTGTTTGGTACCCTGAGCACAGTTTGGTACACTAAGCACAGTTTGGTACACTGAGCCTGAGCAGTGTTTGGTACACTGCTCAGAGTTTGGTACCCTGAGCAGAGTTTCGTACACTGAGCACAGTTTGGTAAACTGAGTACAGTTTGTGAGACTGAGCACAGTTTGTTACACCGATCAGAGTTTGTTACACTGAGCAAAGTTTGGTACACTGATCAGAGATTGGTACAATGAGCACAGTTTGGTACACTGAGTACAGTTTGTGAGACTGAGCACAGTTTGTTACACTGATCAGAGTTTGGTACACTGATCAAAGTTTGGTACACTGAGCACTGTTGGGTACACTGAGCACAGTTTGGGACACTAATCAGAGTTTGGTACAGTGAGCATAGTTTGATACACTGAGCAGAATTTGGTACAATGTGCACAGTTTGATAAACTGATCAGAGGTTGGTACAATGAGCACAGTTTGGGACACTAATCAGAGTTTGGTACAGTGAGCAGAGCTTGATACACTGAGCAGAATTTGGTACAATGAGCAGAGTTTGGTACACTGAGCAGTGTTTTGTACACTGATAAGAGTTTGGTACACTGATCAGAGATTGGTACAATGAGCAGAGTTTGGTACACTGATCATAGTTTGTTACACTTAGCAAAATTTGGTACACTGATCAGAGTTTTTTACACTGAGCACAGTTTGTTACATTGAGCAGTGTTTGGTCCACTGAGCACAGTTTGGTACACTGGTGTTTGTTACACTGAGCAGTGTTTGGTATGCTGAGCACAGTTTGGTACACTGCGCACAGTTTGGTACACTGAGCAAAGTTTGGTACACTGATCACAGTTTGTTACACTGAGCATTGTTTGGTACACTGAGCACAGTTAAGTACACTAATCGGAGTTTGGTACAATGAGCAGAGTTTAATACACTGAGCAGAGTTTGGTACATTGATCAGAGTTTGTTACACTGAGCAAAGTTTGGTACACTGATCAGAGATTGGTACAATGAGCAGAGTTTGTTTCACTTAGCAGAGTTTGGTACACTGAGCAAAGTTTGGTACACTGATCAGAGTTTGGTACCCTGAGCACAGTTTGGTACACTGAGTACAGTTTGTGAGACTGAGCACAGTTTGTTACACTAAGCACAGTTTGGTACACTGAGTACAGTTTGTGAGACTGAGCACAGTTTGTTACACCGATCAGAGTTTGTTACACTGATCAGCATTTGTTACACTTAGCACAGTTTGTTACACTGAGCTCAGTTTGGTACACTGATCAGAATTTGGTACACTGAGCACAGTTTGTTAGACTGAGCACAGTTTGGTACACCGAGCAGTGTTTTGTATGCTGAGCACAGTTTGGTACACTGGTGTTTGTTACACTGAGCAGTGTTTGGTACAATGATCAGAGTTTGTTACAATGAGCACAGTTGGGTACTCTGATCAGAGTTTGGTACAATGAGCGTTTAGAACACTGAGCAGTGTTTGGTACCCTGAGCACAGTTTGGTACACTGATCAGAGATTGGTACAATGAGCAGAGTTTGATCCACTGAGCAGAGTTTGGTACATTGATCAGAGTTTGTTACACTGAACACAGTTTGGTCCACTGAGCACAGTTTGGTACACTGGTGTTTGTTACACTGAGCAGTGTTTGGTACAATGATCAGAGTTTGTTACAATGAGCACAGTTGGGTACTCTGATCAGAGTTTGGTACAATTAGCAGAGTTTGATACACTGAGCAGTGTTTGGTACACTGCTCAGAGTTTGGTACCCTGAGCACAGTTTGGTACACTAATCACAGTTTGTTACACTTAGCAAATTTTGGTACACTGATCAGAGTTCGTCACACTGATCAGAGTTTGTTACATTGATCAGAATTTGTTACATTGAGCACAGTTTGTTACACTGATCAGAGTTCGTTACACTGAGCAGAGTTTGGTCCACTGATCAGAGTTTGTTACATTGATCAGAATTTGTTACATTGAGCACAGTTTGGTTCACTGAGCACAGTTTGGTACACCGAGCAGTGTTTGGTATGCTGAGCACAGTTTGGTACACTAATCAGAGTTTGTTTCACTGATCAGAGTTTGTTACATTGATCAGAATTTGTTACATTGAGCACAGTTTGTTACACTGATCAGAGTTCGTTACACTGATCAGAATTTGTTAGTACACTGATCAAAGTTTGTTACACTGAGCAGAGTGTGGTACACTGATCAGAGTTTGGTACAATTGGTACACTGATCAAAGTTTGGTACACTGAGCACTGTTTGGTACACTAATCAGAGTTTGGTGCAATGAGCAGAGTTTGATACATTGAGCAGAGTTTGGTACAATGAGCACAGATTGGTACACTGAGCACAGTGTGGTACACTGAGCACAGTTTGGTTCACTGAGCACAGTTTGGTACACCGAGCAGTGTTTTGTATGCTGAGCACAGTTTGGTACACTGAAAAGAGTTTGTTACACTGAGCAGAGTGTGGTACACTGATCAGAGTTTGGTACCCTGAGCAGAGTTTCGTACACTGAGCACAGTTTGGTTCACTGAGCACAGTTTGGTACACTGAAAAGAGTTTGTTACACTGCGCACAGTTTGGTACACTGAGCAAAGTTTGTTACACTGAGCAGAGTGTGGTACACTGATCAGAGTTTGGTACACTGATCAAAGTTTGGTACACTGAGCACTGTTGGGTACACTGAGCACAGTTTGGAACACTGAGCACAGTTTGGTACACCGAGCACAGTTTGGTATACTGAGAAGTGTTTGGTACACTGAGCAGCGTTTGGTACACTGATCAAAGTTTGTTACACTGAGCAGAGTTTGGTGCAATGATCAGAGTTTGTTACACTAATCAGAGTTTGTGACACTGAGCACAGTTTGTTAGACTGAGCACAGTTTGTTACACTAAGCACAGTTTGGTACACTGAGTACAGTTTGTGAGACTGAGCACAGTTTGTTACACTGATCAGAGTTCGTTACACTGATCAGAATTTGTTAGTACACTGATCAAAGTTTGTTACACTGAGCAGAGTTTGTTACACTGAGCAAAGTTTGGTACACTGAGCACAGCTTGGTACACTGAGCACAGTTTGGTACACTAATCAGAGTTTGGTACAGTGAGCAGAGTTTGATACACTGAGCAGAATTTGGTACAATGTGCACAGTTTGATAAACTGATCAGAGTTTGGTACAATGAGCACAGTTTGGTACACTGATCAGAGTTTGGTACAATGAGCACAGTTTGGTACACTGAGCACAGTTTGTTACACTGATCAGAGTTTGTTACACTGAGCACAGTTTGGTACACTGATCAGAGTTCGTTACACTGAGCAGAGTTTGGTATAATGAGCAGTGTTTGGTACACTGATCAGAGTTTGTTACACTGAGCACAGTTTGGTACACTAAGCAGAGTTTGGTACAGTGAGCAGAGTTTGATACACTGAGCAGAATTTGGTACAATGTGCACAGTTTGATAAACTGATCAGAGTTTGGTACAATGAGCACAGTTTGGTACACTGAGCACAGTTTGGTACACTGAGCAGTGTTTGGTACACTGAGCAGAGTTTGTTACACTGATCAGAGTTTGGTACCCTGAGCAGTGTTTCGTACACTGAGCACAGTTTGGTACACTGCGCAGAGTTTGGCACACTGAGCAGAGTTTGGTTCACTGATCAGAGTTTGTTGCACTGAGCACAGTTTGGTACACTGATCACAGTTTGGTACACTGAGCACAGTTTGGTACACTGAGCACAGTTTGGTACACCGAGCACAGTTTTGTATACTGAGCAGAGTTTGGTATACTGAGCAGTGTTCGGTATGCAGAGCACAGTTTGGTACACTGAGCACAGTTTGGTACACTGATCAGAGTTTGGTACAATGAGCAGAGTTTGATACACTGAGCAGAGTTTGGTACAATGAGCACAGTTTGGTACACTGATCAGAGTTCGGTACAATGAGCACAGTTTGGTACACTGATCAGAGTTTGGTACAATGAGCACAGTTTGGTATACTGATCAGAGTTTGGTATACTGATCAGAGTTTGGTACACTGATCAGAGTTTGGTACACTGAGCACTGTTTGGTACACTGAGCACAGTTTGGTACACTGAGCACAGTTTGGTACACTGAGCACAGTTTGACACCTTGACAATAGCTGTTTGGTTGATCAACAGTCATAAGTCAATGAAATGAAAGAAAAAAAGAAAAAAATGTTTTCTAAAATGTTACAATTTTTTTCAGATTCAAGGACAACATGGTGGGATACAGCTTTTGGGACTTCAACAGCAGAGAGCTCCTCTGAAAACGGGAACATCAAATCTGGCGTCTCAGCCAGCAGGACAACAGCTCGGTGGCACTAAAGTGGCCGTCTCAATACCAACAACAGGTACGTTGTTGCATCAAAACTTGTTTAGTGTTACATGAATTTTAAAATGAATTTCAGTTGGCTATAGGGAACAAAATGATATATATGTATAGTCAAGTGTCTTTAATATAAACCACTACTAACCCAGTTGTCCAGCTTTCCAGTCAGTGTTTTCTGGGCACATAAAAAAACACAAAAAACAAGATGTCCATATTAAATACATAAAATGAACTGCCAAGCTAAAAGTAATCAAAATTAATATCAAAATGTAATGCCATACTACCAACTATGGCTCCATTATCATACAGACAGTCTATATATACAAGTTAAGAGCATTAGAAATGCTGTCGCACTGTCACATTGACAAAGAAATTAATTCAAAGATTTACGTGGTATCAACCCTAACCCTAGCAATGACGAGGTTGACAGGATGTGCCTGGCATAATGGTGTTTAATATGTTGTAACAGGTATCTTCGTGTAATATTCACCTCACCATATAATGTTTCATTTCCAGGAGTGTTGTCGGCCCAGAGCCTGGCCGGCCACCAGGTGGCAACGCTGTCGCAGTTGAAGCCAGGCCAGGCACCAGGGGGCACACTTCAGCCGCAGCAGTTGATGCAGCTACAGGCGACACAGCTGACGTTTAACAAACAGCAGCCACTCCAGCTCCACCCAATACAGCTGAAACCACAACAGCCACAGCAGATAGTCCCTGGGGGTATCAACAAGTCCAAGAGCAAGAAACGCACAACTCCCACCCCTCCTAAACACTGATTCTACCCCTACTGACAGTCCAACAGCTGGCCTTTGGGATGTCAACAAGTCCTAGAAACCACAACAGTCACTTGTCAAATCTGTCATTAGTTGGTGGTGTTATTTTTCTGGACATTTGTTTTCACAGTTCCATTAGAAGATGCATGTACCTAACAGAAAAGAGGATGCAATGTGGCGAGTTACTTGACGATGAAAATATTGATGTTAAACAATTTTTTACAATATGGATCTATCATATGCACCTTATCAGTGTTATAGAAACCAGAACCTCTACGCTTGTAAACTGAAGGGAAATAACTCAGACTGTTACATGCATATTGATACATATTGTAGTAGTTTGTTTCTTATATTATTTTAGCTCACCTGAGCCAAATTTGATATAATTGATCCTACATTATCAGTTGGTAGTGTGTTTCAGATTCGCTCACATAGTCTGGTTGAGTCTTACAGGACCCTGTAAGGGTCCTTAAATGGGCATTGAGATAAAATCTCTGTTTATGTCAAGGATAATTAAAATTCTTACATTATCATGGGCCAGATGTGAAGATTTACATTGGCTCAAATCCAATGTTTAGAAATGTCACTGTATACCAGTAATATCAGGACAAGTTACGAAATCTGAAATGGAAACTAATTCTATGTCTTTTTATCACATTACCAAGATTTTTTGGAGATTTTTACAAAAAGTCTCTCTTCTAATAGAAAACACAGATAAAACTTGTGTCAATATTTGACAGTGTGCTATCTATGGTTTATAAACTGTTTTTAAGTATTTTACATATCTAGTATGAATTCTAATGGTTTTACTGTGAATAGTTAATTTATTTGTTTTATATAAAACACAGTCATTTTAACATGTTGTCAAATGAATTATAAAATTGTACATTGTACTTATTTGTGAAATAAATAATCTACAGTATATTGTGCTGATCATTCTTTATGATTTAGTGAGGTATACCTATGAGGCAGTGTTTATTGGGTAAGACTAATGGTACTTGTTATATTCTGATGGTCTGGGATGTATTGCTATTTACATCATTATTACATATGATAATCTGTAGTGCTGGAACAATGTCACCATATATTATCATCCTTAAGGTCACTTACCGCCTGATATCTGTCACTAGCTTGTGGTATTTCTACATAAACATCGTTGATTTACATAAACCTACCAGTATTTCAGGAAATATAAAGAACTTATGAAATTAAATACATGGAATAAAGAAGCACATACAATTCCTGATACTGGGCTCTTGGGCACACCACAATTTTAGCTCTTGTCTGTGTCCTTTTTTCCCTATTTTACTGCGTCACTCAAGTAACAACAGGATGAAACTGAACTGTTTTCATCAACAAACCAAGATTATTACATTTCTCACATGTTCTTTTGACATAGACTGTATTATTTAGTCCATCTCCCACCAACAATTGTATAACACCAGGCTATTGTGACATCACTACTGATAATATCTGATTGGTCAGTTTAAATTGGATGAATCTTAAAAATATTGGGGGGTCTGGTCAAGTCTTGATGATACAGAAGTCAATGTCATAATATAAAGGTCATAGTTACATATTTCTGAAGGTCATTGTTACATATGTCTGAAGGTCATTGTTACATATGTCTGAAGGGTATTGTTACACATGTCAGACTGTCATTGCTACACATGTCTGAAGGTCATTGTTACATATGTCTGAAGGTCATTGTTACACATGTCAGACTGTCATTGTTACACATGTCTGAAGGTCATTGTTACGTATGTCTGAAGGTCATTGTTACATATGTCTGAAGGGTATTGTTACACATGTCCGACTGTCATTGTAACAAATGTCTGAAGGTCATTGTTACGTATGTCTGAAGGTCATTGTTACAGTTGTTTGAAGGTCATTGTAACAAATGACTGAAGGTCATTGTTACATATGTCTGAAGGTCATTTTGATGTATGTCAGAATGTCATTGTTACGTTTGTCTGAAGGTCATTGTTACATATGTCTGAAGGTCATTGTTACATATGTCTGAAGGTCATTGTTACAAATGTCAGACTGTCATTGTTACACTTGTCAGATTGTCATTGTTACACATGTCTGAAGGTCATTGTAACATATGTCTGAAGGTCATTGTTAGAGTTGTTTGAAGGTCATTGTAACAAATGTCTGAAGGTCATTGTTACATATGTCTGAAGGTCATTTTGATGTATGTCAGAATGTCATTGTTACGTTTGTCTGAAGGTCATTGTTACGTTCGTCTGAAGGTCATTGTTACATATGTCTAAAGGTCATTGTTACGTATGTCTGAAGGTCATTGTGATGTATTTCTGAAGATAATTGTTACGTTTGTCCGAAGGTCATTGTTACGTATGTCTGAAGGTTATTGTGATGTATGTCTGAAGGTCATTGTGTCAGATGTCCTAGACCATTGTTGAGGGAACTGAAATATGTTAGATGGATGAGAGCTTTTGCACCGAAGAGGGTACGTTGGTTCGAGGGATTGTACCTGGAAGAGGGTGTGGGAACAGGATTGCAGACGGGGAAATGAGAGGGACGGATATGAGAACGGTTGAGGATAAGGGTGGGGATGAGAGAGTGGAGGGGTTGACTGTGGATGGACATAATAACGTTATATTCTGTATTTAAGATACGATATTTGAGTGAGACGGTTCTTAGAAGTTGCTCTATCGCGGGTCCGTCACAATCGAGCATTGTTGGCTGATTATTGAAAAGGTATTCTCCGCTAACTGCAGCACGTAAACGTACAATAGGCGACGTTTACTAGCTATTCTTGTGTACAAATACATGAGCATTATAAACATAATCACCTGTTAGAAATACCACCCAATTATCATTTCAGGTTTGATGATATATCTGAACTACCTTCAATGGAATAAATGTCGCTTTTCTCTGTGTAATCATATGGTGCTTCTGAGCCAGACAGATTTCTTTCTGGTTTTAAAATAAATTAAGAATCAGACATATCACATTTCCGTGACGATCGTTCCACCATATTTTTCCCTGCTCCCTATAGAACGACCAATATGCACAACTGATATGTTTCAGTTTGAAGTCTGCTGACGCAGTCCGGTGCCAAGAATGAATTACCAGGCGTCAATTATAGCTCTGACGGTCATTTTCTGCAACTACATCACACATGTAGAACAAAAGATATATTATCAACTCGTCTGAAATACTTTTGTTCTTTGAGTTTTTCGAATTTTGTAACTTTTATTTTCCTGTTAGTAATTTGAACTGTTGATATAGATGAAGGGAGCCGCGATGTTTTTATCAAACAAGAATTTGTTCCTATTTATAAATATATTCAAATATAACATAAAATGTTGTCAACCAATCTCGATAGTTCGGTATAACTTGTATGTCGTCTATGTGGGCAGTGACTGTTACTTCTTGCTCAATATGTCATGCAGAAATTGGCCGCCATGGGAAACACTGGACTATGAAATTTGCTGTTGTCAGTACAAATTCTATCAAATCCATGATGTCCTGGATTTCGAGATTTGATATCTTAGGCGTAGCGTAGACGAATCAACAGCGATTTGATTGTTGCCAACTCGTACATATTTTACACCTTTGTGTGCATACGCTTCACTTGTCACTTGTCTGATGAAGGTAATAGAGGACATATCATAATGGTCATCGAAACGTCGTGCGAAAACCTTTAATGGTTGTGCTTCATGAACGTATGTTTACAATCCACTCTTATCACACGAAGAAAATATTTAGAAATAATTTGGAAAGATAGGATTCAAGTGTTTATCCTATTCCAGCATTCCTCGCCTTTAGTGTTCGTTTTTTGTTTTATGGTGTTCATCATGAGTTTGGAATTATATCAGGTCCTCGTCCTCATTGTTTCCTCACATTTCTCTGGTTCGTATCCCGTTAACTTTATATGTTGCAGGCGTTGATAACGAGTCTGGCCTCGATACCTGTGGCTTTCATCTTTTTTGTTGACATTGCTGCACTCATCCAGCTGTTGTGATGTTTGAGAGCCTGATTTTGAATTGGTAGATAACAGGTTTTTGTATTTCTCTTTCTATTTGTGGGTGATTTCCCAGCATGTTTTGGCAGTTTTAACGGGCTTTTCGATTCCCGCTTCGATGGTGGGGTGTTCAAGGATAGTCGATGCTGATGGTGGGGTGTTCAAGGATAGCCAATGCTGATGGTGGGGTGTTCAAGGATATCCAAAGCTGATGACACTTAATGTTTGGCTAGTAGTTGTGATAACTTTGATACAAGGAATATACTGTTTTGTTCCTTCATTGGCAATCCCTGCAGGTAGGGGATCAAGAAAAGAGTACACCTGTTATTACCCACGGCATGTATCGTAAGCGGAGACTAATGAGGTAACCCCCTGCATAATTGAGGATTTTCTTTTTTTTGTGCCCTCTACTTGTGGACACAAAAGCGACCAAAATAAATCTGCTGCAACCATTGCAATATTTAGAATATGATATTATAGACTTACAAACAAAACATAGATAGATAAACAAACCTTCGAACAACAAAACATAGACCCCAAAAAACAGATCGACAAGCAAAGTATAGACAAGCAATGCTTGCTTGGCAACACCTCATGTTTTGCTTTAATGTTGAACGTTCGCCCATGTGAGGAATGCAATGGGTTCTGTCCCCAGGCCGGGACATACCAAATGGTAGTTGTTACTCCCTGCTTCACGTTCAGCATTTTGGGTAATGGCAACAACTGGTTCACCCGTTGTCAGTATAATGTGACCGGGCGTAATGCTGTGCTTGGTGCCTTCGCCATAGTATTTCAGTGAGATAGCAATGTAAAGTCGGCATCAGATCAGCGCTATCACAAAAGACAACACACCCTGCCACCTGCACAAACACATGCAAGCACGCATACACAACACACATGGAGGCATTCCTTATATGACCTTAGCTGTTGATAGGACATTAACGTGTTCTGTAGAACCTTTGGTTTCTGGAAGTGCTTTGAAATGGTATTTAACCATTCGACACCATTAGTATATGTACTGCAGCATTGCTGTGACACTGGGTAACCTTTTTAGCTGTCGGGAGAGTTTTTCATTCGGCAGTACAATGTAGTTGTAAACATTATTTCAAGACAGAAGGTTAATCCTGGTGGCATATCTATCCTCTGTAACTTGTGAGCGAGTTGGTGACATGCTGTAAATGGCGTGGATGACCTCTCTTGCTGCTCTGATCCTTTCACCAATGTTTGCTTTCAGAGTGTGTTGATTCTAGGCGGTTTGCTCCCGTTTTGGTGGCCATGCTTTCATTGTCATTGTGTTTTCGTTTGTATTTTTTGTTCCATACATTAAAAGTTCTGGTTTGGAAGAGATAAATTGATTGTGACTTGTCTAATTCAGTGTGGAATTTAACGTGGGTCAGAGGAGCTTGCGTTTCGTGAAGGTTATTTGCTAGAATAGCCATGTCGTCAGATGTTGCCTATGTGGGTTCCCATATACGTGTTAATTTGTGAAACATACCAGGTGGATGATAGTGCCTTGCTTTGTTTCTTGTAAGTGTTTGACACTGTCAGACGAGTTGATTTGTCAGTATATCTTCGTGGAAGACCCGTGGTGCCTACTTCAGGCTGTTGTCCATAGCGGTCATTGATTTAAGCGTGTAGTAAGTTGTTGAACACCACTCGTTATTTATATTATCGAAGCTTTTTGGGCGTCTGATGTTACTTAACATAGATTTCTGCTAATTTCCTTTGTCTGCCTCCGATAACCAGTATAGCGACGTTCATTAGCGACACTCCGGCTGTGAATCCTCTCTGTAGTGGATTTTGATTTTCTCTTTAAGAAAAGGCAACGTTACATTAAAAGAAAGTAGAAATAAAAAATCTGATGTAATAGATTG